TCTCTCTCAGCTCCTTTTGTATATAAAGGAGAAGTCTGAGATTCTAGCTCCATTTTCTTTCGCCTGCCGCCTCGCTCGCTGCTTGTCACCCGGTTCGCTCTCTCTCTCTCTACTATATTTAGATCTGAAGCTTCTAAGCTGAAGCTTGCTTTGAAGTAATTAACTTGCTTGCTTAGTTCAATTAAATGATTTCGCGTACCTGTTTTTCGATTTTTCTAGCTTAAGATCTGTAATTAGACTGTTAAAGTAGTATAATCTTTTGTACTATATGATTTGAAATGGATTAGATTGAATGTTCTTTTGCTTAGTTGCTGCTTGTATAATCTGATTGTTTAGCCGACTTTTTTATTCATTATTTTTTATGTTAGCTTCTTTCGATGAAAAAAAAGAAAGATTCTGAGCTTCTTTTTTTCTTTGTTTTTGATATAACCCATATCAAATTTAAACGAAGATCGTATGGATATGGATGCATACACACTTACCAGATTTAAACAAGTATCTTATATATTTACTTGCCTAAACACATGTGTATGTATCAAAATACCTGCAAAATTACTTTCTTACTAAGCTTTTAGATTTCCTTTAATTGGTGGGGAATTTTGTAACTGTTATGGCTCTTGTTACTTTGTTCTTGTTCATTTATCTAATTATGATGGTTTTACTATTTTTGTGGACAGATACTAATTATACTTTTGGAGGTGACATTTGAAGACTAGTCAAGATGGTAAATTACTTGTTTCATCATTTTAGTTGAGTGGGTTGCTGAGAAACTACATTATTTCCTTAATTTTAATTGAGTTGTATTTTTCATATGTACAGGTGAAGTTCACAGCTGAGGAGCTCCGTAGGATTATGGACTACAAACACAACATTCGTAACATGTCTGTTATTGCGCATGTTGATCACGGTATATATAATGTTACTTATTTGGCTTACCAAATATCAATCTGAAATGATGTTTTGTTTACAAGTATAGAGCATTTATACTGGCTTTAAATGATCGTATCTGTTCCCAAGCTTGAATATCATAATTATCAATTATGGTTTCAAGGCGCAGCTAAAGGAGTGGCTGAATTTTTATGTATATGTAGGATACTAATGCAATTGTTAACTTCGTAAAAAAAAAATTTACTGAAGACCACTGAGGCTTGGACCATATTTGATTTGTTTGCTTCTTGTTCTGTTGTATCTGTGGTTGCATGATCAAGTAATAATGTTAAATTTTTCCTCCTCTCAGGGAAGTCAACCCTTACCGACTCTCTTGTTGCTGCTGCTGGTATCATTGCACAAGAAGTTGCTGGTGATGTCCGGATGACAGATACCCGTGCAGATGAGGCAGAGCGTGGTATCACAATCAAATCTACTGGTATCTCTCTCTACTATGAGATGACTGATGAAGCTTTGAAGAGCTACAAGGGGGAGAGAAACGGAAATGAGTACCTCATCAATCTCATTGATTCCCCTGGGCACGTTGACTTTTCATCTGAAGTCACAGCTGCTCTTCGTATTACTGATGGTGCACTTGTGGTGGTTGATTGCATTGAGGGTGTTTGTGTCCAAACAGAGACTGTGCTTCGTCAAGCCTTGGGAGAAAGGATCAGGCCTGTTTTGACTGTTAACAAGATGGACAGGTGCTTCCTTGAGCTCCAGGTCGATGGAGAGGAGGCTTACCAAACATTCCAGAGGGTTATTGAGAATGCTAATGTCATTATGGCTACATACGAAGACCCCCTTCTTGGCGATGTCCAGGTCTATCCAGAGAAAGGAACAGTTGCCTTTTCTGCTGGGTTGCATGGATGGGCTTTTACTCTGACCAACTTTGCCAAGATGTATGCATCCAAGTTTGGAGTTGATGAGTCAAAGATGATGGAAAGGCTCTGGGGTGAGAACTACTTTGACCCAGCTACCAAGAAATGGACCAGCAAGAACACTGGTTCTGCTACCTGCAAGCGTGGTTTTGTTCAGTTCTGTTATGAACCCATCAAGCAGATTATCAACACCTGCATGAATGATCAGAAGGACAAGTTGTGGCCCATGTTGACAAAGCTTGGTGTCACAATGAAGAGTGATGAAAAGGAGCTGATGGGGAAGGGGTTGATGAAGCGTGTCATGCAGACCTGGCTACCAGCCAGCAGTGCCCTATTGGAAATGATGATCTTTCACCTTCCCTCTCCTTCAACTGCCCAGAGATATCGTGTTGAGAACTTGTACGAGGGTCCCCTTGATGATCAATATGCAAATGCTATCAGGAACTGTGATCCCGAAGGGCCTCTTATGCTCTATGTATCTAAGATGATTCCCGCATCTGACAAGGGTCGATTCTTTGCCTTTGGTCGTGTCTTTGCTGGTAAAGTCCAGACAGGTTTGAAGGTTAGAATCATGGGTCCAAATTTTGTTCCTGGAGAGAAGAAGGATTTGTATGTTAAGAACGTGCAGAGGACTGTTATTTGGATGGGAAAGAAACAAGAAACTGTTGAGGATGTTCCTTGTGGTAACACTGTTGCCTTGGTCGGTCTTGATCAGTTTATCACCAAGAATGCTACATTGACAAACGAGAAGGAAGTGGATGCTCACCCCATTCGTGCTATGAAGTTCTCTGTTTCACCTGTTGTGCGTGTTGCTGTTCAATGCAAGGTGGCTTCTGACCTTCCCAAACTGGTTGAAGGTCTCAAACGTCTGGCCAAGTCTGATCCTATGGTTGTCTGTTCCATTGAGGAATCCGGTGAGCACATTATTGCTGGTGCTGGTGAACTCCATCTTGAGATTTGTTTGAAGGATCTACAAGATGATTTCATGGGTGGAGCTGAGATTATAAAATCTGACCCTGTTGTGTCTTTCCGTGAGACTGTCCTGGAGAAGTCTAGTCGTACTGTGATGAGCAAGTCACCCAACAAGCATAACCGTCTGTATATGGAAGCTCGACCCTTGGAGGAAGGTCTTCCTGAGGCCATTGATGATGGTCGTATTGGCCCAAGAGATGATCCCAAAATTCGTTCCAAGATCTTGGCTGAAGAGTTTGGTTGGGACAAGGATCTTGCTAAGAAAATCTGGTGTTTTGGCCCTGAGACCACCGGTCCCAACATGGTGGTGGATATGTGTAAGGGAGTTCAGTACCTGAATGAAATCAAGGACTCTGTTGTTGCTGGTTTCCAGTGGGCTTCAAAGGAAGGTGCATTGGCAGAAGAAAACATGAGGGGTATTTGCTTTGAAGTCTGTGATGTGGTTCTTCATGCTGATGCCATCCACAGAGGAGGTGGTCAGGTCATTCCCACTGCTAGGAGGGTCATCTATGCTTCCCAGCTCACTGCCAAGCCAAGGCTCCTTGAACCTGTATATCTTGTTGAAATCCAAGCTCCAGAGCAGGCTCTTGGTGGTATCTACAGTGTTCTTAATCAGAAACGTGGGCATGTGTTTGAGGAAATGCAGAGGCCTGGTACTCCACTCTACAATATCAAGGCATACCTCCCTGTCATTGAATCTTTTGGGTTCTCTGGTCAACTGAGGGCTTCGACTTCAGGGCAGGCCTTCCCACAATGTGTGTTTGATCATTGGGAGATGATGTCGTCTGATCCATTGGAAACTGGATCCCAGGCTTCACAGCTTGTTACAGATATCCGTAAGAGGAAGGGTTTGAAGGAGCAAATGACCCCACTATCCGAGTTTGAGGACAAACTCTGAGTAATTTCTTTGATTATATCGAACAATTGGATGACTGAGTTACTTTGAGACAGTAGTTCCATTGCACTGCCTATTTTTTGTTTTCAGTTTTTTGTTTTCGTTTAATGTTTGTACCAACCCTGTTGTTGTAGTCAGCATCCTGTGCCAGTGGCCCAGTAGTAACGTTTTGTGCGTGCTCAGAAGATTATGTAATGTTATGTTCTTACTTTTGCTTATGGAACCATTTCTGCCACCGCTGGTACATGCTATTTTTGAATTTACTGTACACTCCTTTTTGTGATTTGTTTCGTGAATTGGGTAGCTTGCTCTTGCATAACTTGACTGTTCTGTGTGTTTGCTACAGCTTCTTATCTCAATAATAGATATAGGAAAGCAGGCTGATGCCTACTTTTGAACCTAATTCTTCTGTTGTGATACAGGGAAAACACTGGTGGCAGTCTCTGACCACCTTGGCGTGCCGAGTGGCCAGACAGGGTGGCTTACTTGAGACCAGTCTTGCTGTAGGAGTTGGCTTGATTTGCCTTTTCAATTTTCTGTCGGGATTCTTGTGCAGCAGCATCAAGTAAAATTTGATTGCTTTGTGATTTTGGAGCACCACTGGAACTTTTAGATAGTAAATAACTGTATTGGCCTTGTATTTGCAAGTTCTGGAGCATTTGGCCTTTGATTTTGCTTAATGTGGCATTGCATTTTCCGTCCGTAACTGAAACTTTTTGGATGTTGACCAAAGAAGAAATGGTACTGAATGGTGGAAGCATTTGATGCATACTGTATGAATTGAATATGGTTAGCCTTATATGCTCCAAAGCTGGAAGTAGCGTAGGAAGAGAAAATGGGAGTGAAAATCGCCATCCTTTTTATTACATGTAATGTGATGGAGTCACGTTCTGGAGAAGAACTTGTATATCACGGGAATGGGTTTTAAGATGTATGGAATGTATGGCCAGAACCCAATACAATTTTTTTGTTTCCTAAATTACTCCTGCATATTCCAACCAAACTTACCCCATATGTCAAAATTAGAAGCATGCGCTACACGTGGAGGGAGAGTGGTGGTCCCAAATATGATAATTAGAACTTGAATGACCCAAATCAGCTAAAGCAAAGCATCATCAACAACACTAGTTTCTCAAAAAATATATCGAAATTGCATATAAATTGTATATTTGAGAAATATTAAAGAAACGAACAACACTCTCATACTTGTTGCAAAACTTATTCACATAGGGAACACCAAAGTTTGGGGTTGGGTTTCCAAAGAACAATCTTGGGTGATCAAACGAAATTCCTCAATCTAGGGTTTTTTTTTTTTGGTGGGGTCATAAAATATAGGCTTAAATTTATATAGGAAAAAAAAAAGAGAGAGGCTGAAGTAGAGAATGATGGGCCACGAGAGACTAGAAAATGGCACAGCCGAGCCCAACCCATGGGACGAAAACCCTAACCTTATATAACACTCACACACTCCCTTCGGAACCCACAAATTCTCTCTCTGTCTCATTCTCTTTTATAGGCTGCGGAGAATTCCTCTCTCTCTACCGCGATTCTTCTTGAGGTTCGTTCGTATATCCTCTTTGTTTTATTCAATTCAGTGCCTGCCTTTAATTTTGTATCTCAGATTATTCTTCTGTTTCTGGTTTCTGTCGCTATGCTTTTTTATTTCTTCTGAACATGGTTGATCTGCATGGATTTTATTATTATTTTATCTTTTTGTTGAAAATTCTCGTTGTATATGCATGCTTTTGATGTGAGATTGTTCACAGATTTGTATTGGATCCTTGTTTCTTGTGTTGATCACTGTAAGGCGCTGTTTGTTTCGTCGGAAAATTGTTACGTGAAAAATTTTTCTTGGTGGAAAGATTTTCTGGCGTTTTCTTCGGACGGTTGGAGTTTTTTACGTGATGTATTGGAATATCGTTCGTTTTTCTGAGTAGATTTGTTGTATCATCTATATCCTCAGTTTATACACTGATCGCGCTAACACTCTGTTTTTTTTTTACTGCAAAATAGTTACACCTACAAATTTTTCGATTTGGAAAAATTTTCTGATGTTTCCTTGCTACTGTGAAAAATCATTACATGACCATATGAGTTTTTCCTCTGTGTTTATGAATAAATGTTATGTTTTCTATTATATCGTTTCATTAAATATTTCCTGGCAAATATTTTTCTAAATGCTATGAAATAATTTCACACAATTCGAAGAGAGAAAATGTCTATCTACTGTAGTTTGAATGTGCCTAATTGCTTGTGTTTCCCATTGGTATATGTTTTATATTGCTTGTTTTTCCCTCTTGAATACCTTCACACATCCAAACATGTGAGGCCATGCAGAGAAGAGAATACCATATGTGATTATTTTTTCTGATTGAAATCTTTTATCTTGATTGTTAATAAAATTATTATATTTGATACAGTAATAGTTATCAAAGTAGAGGTTGTTCATAGATATTTACTTGAATTTCTTGCTTGAATGTTCAATTGAACCCTCGAGGTTGCTCATAGTATAGTTTGTTTAGGTGGGATTTTATGAAGACGAGAGACTTGTAGTTTTGATTGGTGGCTCTAGCTCAGAGATACTTCCGACCACTTAACACTTGTTCCTTACAATGCATGTCTATAACGTATGTGTTCCTCATTTTTGGTATACGTTGACAGTTAGCTCAATATTTGTATCTCAACAGCTTTTCAATGTTTATCTCCAGTTTGAGAGGACCTTTATTTGTAAATTCCCTGTATGTTCCATTGCAACAAAGAACAAGGCAATAAAAATTCAATACACAGGCAATACAACAGCAATAACAAGTAATAAACAGGCAATACACAGACAACATACCAACAATGCACATACAATATAGAGGCAATAAAATTTAAAAAGGAAAATAATAAAATAGTGCTATACATAATAATAAGACAATATCACGCAATACAAAGCCAGATCAAAGCACTAGGCACGAGATATGTCCACAATAACATTACAATAGAGGGGCAATAGACACCCCATATACAATATACATAACGTTGTATAGGAAAATGGATATGTTCTTATGAATAGTGGTAAGTTGCAGGAAAGATGACAGCAACAGTCTCACAACACAACTTCGACTACGATTAGTTCCTGTCTATAAGTTTTTACTTTCCAAATGCGAATGGACTACCATTCATCATGCCCAGAAAAACAGAGAAGTTCATCAAATAAATTTTTAATGATAATACCAGAACACATAGCCTGTTACCTCAGATATGACAGCCTGAGAAACTCCAATTCTATCTCCAACTAACAAGTAACTAATTGAGTAAAGAGAAACTATTGAGTAAGTTTGGTTTATGCTATCAACGAATGAATTTTTTTTGGCAGATTGGAGAGACTAGTCAGCTAGTGGGCTTTGGATCATGTCTTTTAAAGAGAACTAGCAAATAAGTTTGGCTTATGCTTGTTATTATTAGGCCGCAAGAATTAATAAGGAAATTTAAGACATTATGTATTCTTCTTGTGGAACCGTATGTTTCTAATATTTGTTTCACTATTTTGTTAGAATGGAATCACATTCCTATATTGTCAAAATTAAACATTGTTACATTGTCATCTTGTATGTTTCAAAACTGTCGTATACGTGACCGTCGTCTCTTACTCAAGATCCCAAAATTTTCAAGTAAATTAAACTAAAATTTCATTTAATGGCATCAAAATAATTACATGGTCTCCTATACAGTAATATTAAATACATGTTTTTGTTTCACGTAATCTTAAAAAATGACAAATTATCTCAAGAATTAACAACTTGAAAACAATAATCTCCTATTTAATTGTTGAATTTACATGAAGCATCATCCCTTTTACTCTTGCAGCTGCTCTAGCGAATGATGCAAATCCATTGTGGATCCTTGACGATTTAGGATAGTTTTTCCTTGGGTTTTGAGGAGTTTTAAGTTTCCTATTCATTGTATGATTGTACTAAAGTCCTATGGTCTATAAATAGGCATTTTAGTGCTAGGGTTTTCTCTAACAAGTGCAAGAGAGAAAACAAGGGCTTCAAATTAGGTTTGAGCCAGGGTGAAAGAGAAGAGAGCTAGGGTTTGTGAGAGAGCAAATGGGGTTCTTCATTGTAACCCAAGGGGTTCTTTCATACTTGTGAGTTTCTTGAGGATCACCAGAGAGGACGTAGGCACAATGCCGAAACTTTATAAATTCTTGTGTTCTTTGTGTGTATGTTTACTTTTGGGTTGGTGAGTATGCTTTTTCTTTGCGTGGCTTATGTGTAGTATTTGTGTAGTCCATCAACGACAAGGTCTTGAAGTGTTTGCGCACAACAATCCTGTTTACCAAATGGGGCCTTAAACTTCACGTGTGGTCTTGTTTTGCCTTCACCTTTGAAAGTTGAAACCCTCTTCGCTCTTAATGGAAGGATGGCCAAGATCAATCTTTATACTACTACAAAAAAAATTGGCAACAGTTACTATTATTTGGTGACATATGATGACTAATGCTGGGGTAACTAATTCTGGACTATTATTTGGTGACATTTGGTGACTAATGCTAGGGTTACCAAAGCTAGTTACCCCAGTATTAGTCACCAAATGTCACCAAATCAAGGGCGGACCTATGTGAGGGTTGTAGTGGGCTCCAGCCCAGTCCTATTTTTTAGAGTAGGCCTAATTTCTAAGCCAAATTTAGATAAATCAAATTTTAGCACAAAGTTTCTCTCTCTCTCTCTCCGTTTTCTCTTTCCTTTTTCTTTTTTTCTTTCTCTTTCTTCTTTAATCCCTTCGCCTCTTCTTTCTTTTCTCTCTCATTTCTCCCTTCTTTTTCTTTCTTCTCTCTATTTTCTTGTTCTTCTTCTTTGTCTCCGCCATTTTTCTTTTCTCTTTCTTTCCTTTTGTCTTCTCTATTTGTTTCTCTTTTGTTTTATTAAGTCTCTGTTTCTCTCTTCTTCTTTACCATGCGTTTCTTTGTTTACGCATTGATGATGGTTTTTTGTTGTGATGAAGATGTTGAATAGGTTGTTTGACCAGCTTGAGCATGTGGATGTTTTGGTGGAGGATCCGACTGTAGTCCGAATCACATAGGTGTCCAAAAAAAAATTTGGGCCACCCCTGTAAAAAATCCTAGATCCGCCATTGCACCAAATAATGGTGACTGTGGCCACTTTTTTTATTTTTATTTTTTGGTAGTGTGCTCTCTAAGTTTCGTGAATATTTTTGGAATTGCGATAGCCATTCCGCCCATTTCGTCGAGATAAACAAGACGTATTCTATTATAACTCGTCCCGGCCAAGAAAAAAAGCGCAGCGCCAATAAATCAGTGAGAGATTATTTGTAAAGTGGCTCCGACTGACGGTTAGGATCAACCTTTGATGTCCCCAACTTTAGAACAAATGGCTAGGATAACAGCTAGACGTATACTATAAAGACTAATCCTTGGCCACGAAAAAAAAAGAGTATTTTCCAAAGATTGCACATCAGAGTGAAAATGATTATTCTCACATATTATGACAATACTAATTACACTAAACTCGACTTTAATACTTAGATTTTGGAATATTATTCTCACAATAGAATTGAAACTGATTATTCTGACGACAGAATCACAACAATAGCAATTAGACTAAACTCAGACCTTCCTTAATTAACACTTAGTGCTACATGACCCTTGGATTTACAGAAGCATATTTAAGCAGCTCCGGGTTGCTTTCAAAATGCTCCATGATTTCTTCACTCACACTCAACATTGCTTCTATTCCCTTGCCATCTCTTGTATCAATCAAAATAACCAAATCCTTAAGTCCAATACTAGGAATGCTCACCCATGCCGGCTTTCCCCATCCGAAATTAGCTTCATAAAAAGGAAACCTACACCAACTTCCAGAGCATAAATGGTACATGTCAACATTCCCTGTCAACTTTTTACATTCTTGACCCCATTGCCATGCCTTAATAGAATCAAATGGTAGTTTTGTAGGATAAGCTTCTTTCTGCTGTTCAAACCCTTTCCTGAGTTTGGCAACCAAGTCTTTTAGATCTATCGTCTCATCATCACTCTCTTCCTGCCCTTTTAATAACGATGGTGTTGCAATGACTAATAAATGAGCAACAACATTCCCACCCAAGTTTTGTGGGACGGGTGGCTCAAACCGTCTACGCAAGTCCATAGACATTCTGAACGAAGATGGTCTTGACCCCAGTGGTATGTTTGATGATTTGGATGATGCTTCCATAGCACATTTCCAAATGAGTGCTGAAACTACGAGGACACGTGTCGGTGCATGAGGTGCCGTTGCACTGGACAAATGTGATTGGAGGGTGGCAATCCTTGAGGCATCAAACACAAACCTCTTTGTTATGTACTTGATGCCCTCCAGGTTGGGTGGAGATGGCTGTGATGAGTTTAAGAAATCTAGAGGTGGAAAATAAGACGCAGCATCAAATTTTGGGACCATGAAGGGTATCTGATCATCGTCACGATCATCAAGGGCTGTTTTGGCCCAACAACTGATGAGGGCGCTAGATGTGGTGCCATCAACAGCCCTAGGTGAAAAATTCAACCCTATTGCCATT